CAGCCCAGCACTCCAGGCTGCCCCAGCTGGTTCCCTGGTCCCCAGCTCTGGTTCCCTGGCCCCCAGCTCTGGCTCCGTGCCCCTGGGCCTGCGTGTTTGGAGGAGGAGCGAGGGGGTGAATGAGTGAGCGAGCTCGGGGTCCACACCAGTGCCTCCGGTTTCCTACAGGGCGACGTCCTGACCACCAAGTACCAGGTGGACCTCGGGGATGGCTCCACGCCCGTGCCCGTGAACCTCACGCTGCGAAGGGAGCGCGTCCGGCACCGCTATGAGAGCCCCGGCATCTATCGTGTGTCCGTCCGAGCGGAGAACGTGGCGGGACGCGATGAGGCAGTGCTCTTTGTCCAGGTCAACCGTAAGTCCCGCCCCTGCGAGGCCCAGAGCCACTCCTGACAGAGAACCGGGGCCCGGGAGGAGGAGGGAACCCTCAGGACCTCCCACCCAACCCTCAGGACGCAAGCCCATGGGCAGGGGAGGCAGGCGGCCGGGCTCCAGTGCACACCTGGTGACCTGTAGGGTTGTTCTTGGGGTGGTGGTGGTGGTGGTGATGGTGGTGATGGTGATGGTGGTGATGGTGATGGTGGTGATGGTGATGGTGGTGATGGTGATGGTGGTGATGGTGATGGTGGTGATGGTGATGGTGGTGATGGTGATGGTGGTGATGGTGATGGTGGTGATGGTGATGGTGGTGATGGTGATGGTGGTGATGGTGATGGTGGTGATGGTGATGGTGGTGATGGTGATGGTGGTGATGGTGATGGTGGTGATGGTGATGGTGGTGATGGTGATGGTGGTGATGGTGATGGTGGTGATGGTGATGGTGGTGATGGTGATGGTGGTGATGGTGATGGTGGTGATGGTGATGGTGGTGATGGTGATGGTGGTGATGGTGATGGTGGTGATGGTGATGGTGGTGATGGTGATGGTGGTGATGGTGATGGTGGTGATGGTGATGGTGGTGATGGTGATGGTGGTGATGGTGATGGTGGTGATGGTGATGGTGGTGATGGTGATGGTGGTGATGGTGATGGTGGTGATGGTGATGGTGGTGATGGTGATGGTGGTGATGGTGATGGTGGTGATGGTGATGGTGGTGATGGTGATGGTGGTGATGGTGATGGTGGTGATGGTGATGGTGGTGATGGTGATGGTGGTGATGGTGATGGTGGTGATGGTGATGGTGGTGATGGTGATGGTGGTGATGGTGATGGTGGTGATGGTGATGGTGGTGATGGTGATGGTGGTGATGGTGATGGTGGTGATGGTGATGGTGGTGATGGTGATGGTGGTGATGGTGATGGTGGTGATGGTGATGGTGGTGATGGTGATGGTGGTGATGGTGATGGTGGTGATGGTGATGGTGGTGATGGTGATGGTGGTGATGGTGATGGTGGTGATGGTGATGGTGGTGATGGTGATGGTGGTGATGGTGATGGTGGTGATGGTGATGGTGGTGATGGTGATGGTGGTGATGGTGATGGTGGTGATGGTGATGGTGGTGATGGTGATGGTGGTGATGGTGATGGTGGTGATGGTGATGGTGGTGATGGTGATGGTGGTGATGGTGATGGTGGTGATGGTGATGGTGGTGATGGTGATGGTGGTGATGGTGATGGTGGTGATGGTGATGGTGGTGATGGTGATGGTGGTGATGGTGATGGTGGTGATGGTGATGGTGGTGATGGTGATGGTGGTGATGGTGATGGTGGTGATGGTGATGGTGGTGATGGTGATGGTGGTGATGGTGATGGTGGTGATGGTGATGGTGGTGATGGTGATGGTGGTGATGGTGATGGTGGTGATGGTGATGGTGGTGATGGTGATGGTGGTGATGGTGATGGTGGTGATGGTGATGGTGGTGATGGTGATGGTGGTGATGGTGATGGTGGTGATGGTGATGGTGGTGATGGTGATGGTGGTGATGGTGATGGTGGTGATGGTGATGGTGGTGATGGTGATGGTGGTGATGGTGATGGTGGTGATGGTGATGGTGGTGATGGTGATGGTGGTGATGGTGATGGTGGTGATGGTGATGGTGGTGATGGTGATGGTGGTGATGGTGATGGTGGTGATGGTGATGGTGGTGATGGTGATGGTGGTGATGGTGATGGTGGTGATGGTGATGGTGGTGATGGTGATGGTGGTGATGGTGATGGTGGTGATGGTGATGGTGGTGATGGTGATGGTGGTGATGGTGGTGGTGGTGGTGGTGGTACTGATGTTAAGTTGAGGATATCAGTGACCAAAAGCAGCCTTGAAAATGAGTGCCCTGATGCCCTCTGACCCCGACCTTTCTCTGGACCGTGCAGCCCCCCTGCAGGCTCTCTACCTCGAAGTGGTTCCTGTCGTCGGCATCAACGAGGAGGTGAACCTCACAGCCGTGCTGCTGCCCCTGAACCCCAACCTCACTGTCTTCTACTGGTGGATTGGCCTCAGCCTGCAGGTGCGCCGACCCCAGACCTTGGTGGCCCCTGTGGCCCACAGGCTGGAGTGAGGGCAGGACGCTGCCTGGGCGTTGGGCAGGACAGTGTAGGCCACCATGGAGCTGAGCGGGCACGCGCACACCTCTCCTTCCACTGTGGCCAGTGAATCAAACCAGACCCTCCTGTTCCCCAGGGAGGGAGATGGGAGCGAGTAGGTGACCTGAGTTAGGGTGTCACAGGTGTCATGGGAAGGGGGCAGGGACGGTGTCCGAGAGCTCCAGGGAGACAAGGCCACTTTTAGTCTGGGGAAGGGGTGGTCAGGGAAGGCTTCCTGGAGGAGGCAGTCACTGGGCCTGGTTCTGAGCTCTGAAGCCTCACTCAGAGCCCATGGACAGAATGCCTTGGGGGGGGGGGGGAGGCTTTCTCAGGGCCGGCTGTCTGTCCTTGGGCTGGATGGGGGCCTCAGGATCCCGGGAGACGCAGCCTTCAACCACAGCCAAGTGCAGCCTGCACCCCCAGGCAGAACCCG